CTTGTTCACTTATTTGATCTGCTAGCATGGTAGCTATGTTAATCTTGTTCATTTGTGTTCAATGAAGTGCTTTTTTTTTTTTGCCGGAGTTCAATGAAGTGCTCTGCCGAGAAGCTTATCCTCGGCAGTGCTGCTTCGGACAAGGAGGTAGCCTCAGCCAACTGCTGGAACGGCAAGGCGGAGGTTGACGGCAAGGCCCCCAAGAGGCCCCGCAGTTACGACCATTTCCATTACAACTCAGGCCCAAGTCACTTCTGCAAGATCATTCTTGCACCTATGTTCGAGTACCTGTCGATGCCCACTGACTTCATCAAGCACATACCACCATCGCACCAGAACTCGTTCTGAGGATGAACACGGGCTATATGCCGAGAGAATCACGGTCCAGGTGGTCAACGGCAGGATCACCCTTGAAGGATGGCCCCCCTCGTCGTAGCTCACCAGCTGAAGATCAGTACCACGTCACCTACAAGGTGCTGAGTCCCGATAGCTTCAAGGTGATCGTCTTCGACATCAACGGTGTCGAGGGGGTGCCAAGGCCAAGTCCATTCTTTAATCCGCAATGCATGAAACACCCAGTTCTGCAGCTCAAGAATCAAACCTATAACACGCCCTGATATAAAAAGAAAGCCACAATGCTCCCCCAAAACACATTTGGCTGCTAGAAATTGGAAACCAAACAAAACCACGATGCCTTCACACATCTGTGGCCACGATAAACTTGAAAAACAAATAAATCCACAAACATTTTTGGCTGATGCAGATTCGGAATGACAGATTAACCCAGATTAGGTCCATCTCCACCTTAAAGGATTGCGTCAAACACATCGTCACAGGAATTTCTCAGTCTACTGCAACTCTCATGTCCCCCCCTATGGATGTGCATTTGTGCCAAAAGAAAAAGGGTGTGTCTAGGGCATATCTAGATGTGCTCTAGTTATTGCACATCTAAGTGAGTGAATCAAGTATAAAGAGAAAAAGAAAAAAGAGAAAGAAAATATTTACACGAATCTCAATGTAAGATCAATGACATATGACTTAGATGTGCAATACTTATGGCACATCTAGATGTGCTTTAGCAAAACTGAAAGAAAAACTTCAGGGAGAGCAGCAGCTTGCAAATCTTAGGAAGCATGCAGAATGTAAAAGGCGGGTGACATGTTTGTGCCTTTGGTGTGTATGGCCGAAAGCAGCATCATAAAGCACAAGCATCATCTTGCCCAATCTGGAGCTTCAGAAATGGGAGGTTTGAGCAATCTAGGTTAACAAGCTACGCAACCATCTTGCCAAATATCTGATGCTTCTGCCAAACTATGCATATCTGTCTTCTCAATGCACATCCCATAAGCTGGTTCATGCCCACTAATTTTCCATTGGAGTCATGAAAAGAAAAAGGGAAAAAATTTACCAGAAACGGAACTCGAAAATCCTCCACCTAAATGGTTGAATTCACAGAACTAGTTTGATCACTGCTAGGGCCTGTGCAATGGCCTTCAGTGATTGAAAGCTTAAAATTTCCAAGCATCAGTATCTGAACAAACGAAGTAAAAAGGATCAGTATCTCATCTCAGCTGAATTATTCTTTATAGGCTAGCTAATCGCAAAATCTTCACTCTCTACGATGAGCGGCGCCGACGGCCCGTCGAGCAGCAGCGAGTCCAGTGAGCTCGGCACATTGATTGGGTTGTCGGTGTAGCCCGGTGCATCGGTCGGGTCCTCACTGGCGAGACCTGCCGTGCTGGTGGTCGGGAGCTCGTTGCGGATTGGGGGCAGGTTGGTGACGCTGTCGGCAGGCAACGGTGATGGATGCTCGTCGTTGCTTTGCCTGGTTCGATGCAACTGGAGCACCTTGCGGTGGGTATTGGCATGCTTTGTTGGCACAAATGTAGGGCTCGCCACGGGCCGGTACTCCGGCAGTAGCCTTCCCTGCCTGTACCGCACGCCGCACGCGTTGCACAGCGTGGCTCGCCCCTTTGGCCCCTCCCTCCACTGTGGCGTCTCTGACGACCCACAGTGCTGGCACCTCTTCCCCTTATTCGCCGGCCATGGCGCCGAAGGGGCTTCGCTTCTAGACCGCCTCCTCTTCTTCTTCTTTGAAGGCTTTCTTGGCAGGTGCACGGACGGAGGCGCCTCAGGCTCCCAGATGGGACTCTCTGGCGGGGAGTTGATGACTGGGCTCTCCTGCTGGGAATCCGTCACTGAGCACTCTGCTGGACGGCACTCCGGCAGCAACCTCCCCTTCTTGTACCGCATGCCGCAGGCGGTGCAGACCTCCCTCCGCCCCATCAATCCTTCTATCCACAAAGGTGGATCCGAGGACCCGCAGTGCAAGCAGCTCGTCCCCGGCCGTGGCGCTGGCGCAGCTTCTGTCCTGGGAGGCATCCTCTCCGTGGCCGACTTTCTGACCAGGTAGATGGCCCCAGGCACCTCGGGCTCCCAGATCGGGCTCTCCAGCGGCGAATCGACGATTGGGCTTGCCACCGGACGGTGCTCCGGCAGTGTCCCGTTCTTACTGTACCAGACTCCGCAGGCGTTGCAGAGGGTACCCCGCCCCATCGGCCCTGACCTCCGCTGCGGCGTCTCCACCGCCTTGCAGTGCAGGCACCTCTTCAATCTCTTGGGCGGCTTATCGGCCGTGCCTGGATCGAGAGACGGAGCCACCTGCACGCGCTGGGTGCGGGGGAACCTTCTCCCCTCCTCTTCGTTTGCCGGGTCCCCAGCCGGCGGCAGCGGCTGGATGAAGGGGATCCTGAGTGACCACCAGGCCGACGGGACGTTGCGGGGGAGGTAGCTGCGCGCCTTCCGCGGGACGGCGGCCTCCAGGCGGGAGACGACGGCGGGGAGCGCCGTTGCGGGGAGAGCGAGGACGGACAGGAGTAGGGGCTCCGTGCCGCCATCCTCCTTCCCCCCAACGCCGCCGCCTCCGGCCATGCCGCGGGTCGCCTCAGATCGCCGGAATCTTGGACACCTCCCCCTCCCTAATCCTGGTGGCTGCTCAGCAAAAAAAATACTATCTTTAGGTCACCGTGTTAAAGATGTAGATCGACCCGCCCACCCACCGAAGGTGAAGAAAGATAAGCCGATACTTGTACCTCTCCTCCCTCGCCTTCCTCCGCCGTCGCCATGGACGGCGGCTGCGACCGTGCGGCGGCAGCAGATGACAGGATGACAGACAAAGGACGATCTGCCCGGGGGCGTGACTGCCAGCTTCTGTGACCGGACAACCTAGTAGTGTCTAGAGTCGGATGCTCGGCCACGCTACGAGTGAATATTTTCCGACTGCAGCAAAAGACGCGCCTGCGCACGCACGCCGCAACCAACCATACATCCACCGCCATTTGCTTACCTGCATTGCAACGTGTCCACACTGTACATTTTTACAAGGCAAGGCATACCACTTTGGGTATGTTGCGAAATAAACTCAAAAGAGCGAATCAACCTGTGGTTGAGATGGTTAGATGGACAGTGATATTCCCAACCCACTAGGGTTCAAATCCTGGTGCTCGCATTATTCCTGCATTTATTTCAGGATTTCCGGCGATGCGCTTTTAGTGGGAGGAGACGTTCCCGTCGACGACAAGACGCCTACGATGACTTCGTAAATCTCAAGATGATGTGTCGGCTCAGTCTTTCGGAGGTGCTCATAAGGGTAGGGTGTGCGTGTGTGCGTTCATAGAGGCGAGTGTATGCGCGTGTATATGAGCGCTTGTGTCTGTACTGATGCTCAAAAAAAAGAAATAAACTCAAAAGATAGAGCTAACAGAAAGCTAGAAGTTCTAAGGGAGTGAAGCTACAAAGGTGAAGAGGAAAGGTTTATGAGCCTCTTTGATCCTCTGCGCAAATAGAGTGGGATCTTCTTTAAATCTTGCAGCCCGGGAACTGGTTTCTGCATCGATTTTCGAAAACACTATAAATCTAACGTTACATTTTTAATCTCCTGACGTGACGCTTCGGCTATCATCTGAACACGAATCTTAATGTGGGCAGTGTTGCCATGTCATACAATCAGTCCGTTTGTTAAGAAACATCCTTGCGTGAAAGCGACCCACTCATTAAGCACGACCCATCCTATTTCCCCTCCCTTCCTTATTCATTCCCTTCACCGATAGTGAGGAGAAATCGGTGGCGAGGAGCAACCCACCACCAACAACCGTTGACAGGAGTGCGGCCTGACGGGAGGAGAAATTGGCGGCGAGGAGCAGCCCCACCACCACCAGTCGGCGGTGGGGCTTGCGACTCGCGGGGGAGGAGATACTGGTGGCGAGGAGCAGCCCCACCACCAACAACCCTTGGCAGGGGCTGCTGCGAGGAGCATCCTTCGGCGCTGGGTGGCTGCTGGGGGCGGGTAGTGATGGAGTCAAATCCGACACATCTCGCTTAGGGGCCCCCGAACTAAGGCTCTTGAGATGATGGTCACAAGGACACAAGTTTTCACCCAGGTTCGGGCTCTCCAGAGAGATAAAACATGCGCCCTGCTTGTGTTTTATTGGTTTTGGGTGGAGTACAAAGTACATATGATCTACCGCGGGCGCGTTGCGTGTCCTTTGCGAGCCTTGCCCCTTGGTTTATATAGGTACCAGAGGGTTTAGGGTTGCATCTAAGCTAGCTATGTACAAAGAGGATGAGTTGTGGATGACCTCCAACATCTTGGAGTACACGACAAGTCTTCAGGAGCCTTCCCTTCATACGCCATGGGTCGTTTTCGTCATGGCCCACTAGTGGAACGACATAGGGGTCCTCGGCCCGGCCCGACAGATCGGGATATGGCGTATTGAGAGACCCCCCAGCCGGGCACCGCCAGTAGGCCCCGGACTGGTCTTCAAGTCTAGATGCACTTCAGTCCATCTAAACTATTCTTCTTCTTGGGTCGCCAGTCTTCAAACAGGTTCAATGAATCTTCCTTTCGAAGGCAAGCATGGCTTATCAAATTAAATCTGAGGTGTCCAGGGCCATCTCAGCTCTCGACAAGTATCTTGCCTTATCCGTGATGCAAGCATGTCAGATAATGTTCCCATGTAGTCATTCTTAGCTGCAAAGAATTCTCGTGCTCGATTTGGGCTCACGATCTGGCCTACCTCTATCATCACAACCCAATCCCATCCACAAGTCCACATGGCATCTTCGTTCCCCATAGTTAACATGACGTGTGGACGTGGGTTAGGGCCCCACCCCGCGGAAGAAGAGAGGAGAAGGTTCTCCCGCCTCAGCGTGTGCAGGTGGCCTTGCTTATCGATCCAAGCATGATCGATAAGCCGCCTAAGAGGTTGAGGAGGTGCCTACACTACAAGGCGGCGGAGATGTTGCAACGAAGGTCAGGGTCGATGGGGCGGGGTATCCTCTGTAATGCCTACGGGGTCTGTTACAGTAAGACTGAGACGCTACTGGAGCACCATCCGGTAGCAAGCCCAATCGTCGATTCGCCACTGGAGAGCCCGATGTGGGAGCCCAAGGTGCATAGGGCTATTTACCTCGTTAGAAAGTCGGCCACGGAGAGGAGGCTTCCCAGGACAGAAGTTTCTCTAGCGCCAGTCCCGGGGACGAGCTGCTTGCACTGTGAGTCGTGGAGCCACCTTTGTGGATAAAAGGGTTGCTGGGGCGGAGGGAGGTCTGCACCGCCTGTGGAATGTGGTACAAGAAGGGGATGCTGCTACAGGAGTGCCGTCCAGCAGGGTGGTCAGTGACGGATTCCTGCGGGAGCGCCCAAGCATCAACTCCACACTGGAGAGTCCCATCTGGGAGCCTGAGACACCTCCATCTGTGCACCCGCCGAGAAAGCTTTCAAATAAGAGAGGAAGCGTCCAATAAGCGAATCCCCTTCGGCGCCATGGCCGACAAATAATGGGAAGAGCTACATGCACTATGGGCCGTTAGAGATGCTAGGGTGGGGGAGGTGCCAAAGGAGTGAGGCACACTATGCAACGTGTGCGACATGCGGTACAGGTAGGGGAAGCTGCTTCTAGAGTATCATCCCATGGCGAGCCCCATGTTTGTACCATCAAAGAATGCCAATTCCCATCATAATGTGCTCGAGTTGCACCGGAGCAAGCAAAGCAATGACGAGCATCCATCATCGCTGCCTGTCGACAGTGCCACTGCCTTGCCCCAATCCGTGACGACCGCCCGACAAACATGGCAGGTCTCGCTAGTGAGGACCTGACCAACTCACAGGGCTACACCGACAACCCAAACAACATGCCGATGTCACTAGAGTCGCTACTCCTCGACGGGCCATCGGCACTGCTCATCGTAGAGAGTGATGATTTTGTGATTAGCTAGCCTATGAAGAATAATTCAGTTGAGATGAGATACTGATCCTTTTTACATCATTTCTTCATATATTGATCCTTTTTTACTTTGTTTCTTTAGATAATTTTAAGCTTTCAACCACTAAAGGCCACTGCACAAGCCCTAGCAGTGATCAAACCAGTTGTCGGTGCTAAAACCGGTGAATCTTGGTAGGGGGTCCCGAGCTGGTGGTCTCGGCCAAATGGTAACAGGAGGTAGAGAAAAACACAATGTTTACCTAGGTTTGGGCCCTCTCGAAGAGGTGAAACCCTATGTCCTAATTGTATTGTATTGATTGTGGATGGGATACAAAGTACAAGATGATGTACCTCGAGATCGTATGAGTGAGTTCTAACATGTTCTAGCATGCCTCTACAGGCTAAACCCCTCGACTTATATAGGCACCCGGGGCTATCTAGGGTTACAAGTATGTTGGCTACATCTAGGGATAAACATGCCGATTGTTTGAATATGCCTTGAAGTATACGCCCCCCAGAGGCCGCGCCCGCATCAGCTCCGACCCTTAGCTCGGAGCCAACTGCGCCAATCGAGGACGGATGGTTAGACACCGCCTCAAGGGCTGCAGTCTCAACGGCGATCGAGCCGAACACCAGCCTAACCCTCTGCGCAGCCCGTGACTCCAAGGTGCCGAACTCTTTTCCGGACTCCGAACCATCCGCGCCCCTGCCAATCGAATCCGATTGGGCGCCAATCATGGAATTCACCACCGCGTATATCTTTCAGCACTCGCCCTTCGGCGACATTCTGAATTCACTAAGGTCTCTTTCTTTGTCAGGAGAGCCCTGGTCAGACTATGGCCAACGGGATTGGGGTGCGGATGACGAAGAAATTCGACGCCCACCCACCACCCACTTAGTAGCCACTGTCGATGATTTAACCGACATGCTCGACTTCGACTCCGATGACGTTGACGGTATGGAGGACGATGTAGGAAACGAACATGAACCAGCGCCTATAGGGCACTGGAAAGCCACCTCGTCATATGACATATACATAGTGGATACACCCAACGAAGGCAATGGCGACGAGATAGCGGAGGATGACCCCTCCAAGAAGCAACCCAAGCGCCGACGTCAGTGGCGCCGCTCTAAGTCCCGCCCAAGCAAAAGTGGTGATACCGACACAGGAGATAATAACACTCCGGATAGTGCCGAAGACAACAACAATCCCCTCCAGCAAGATTTAGAGTAGGAGGATGACAGAGCCAACTCTCCTAAGAGAGCGGCAGGCGGAGAGGAGGAGGATGACAATTACATGCCCCCTCCGAAGATGAGGCAAGCCTCGGCGACGGTGAATTCGCCGTACCAGAGGATCCCGTCGAACAAGAGCGCTTCAAGCGCTGGCTTATGGCCACGGCAAATAGCCTGGAGAAAAAGCAGCAGCAGCTTCAAGCTGATCAAGATCTGCTAGCTGACAGATGGACTGAAGTCCTCGCGGCCGAGGAATATAAACTCGAGCGCCCCTCCAAGAATTACCCAAAGTGCAGGTTACTACCCCGACTGGAGGAAGAAGCGTATGATACGGCTGATCGGCCACCTCGTGGCCGCGATAGAGAGGTATTCCAGTCAAAAGCTCAGCCTCCACCCCGACGCCATTCAAATAAAAAGGCATGGGGAGATACGCCAGACCTGCGAGACATATTGGAGGACAAAGCAAAGCATGCAAGATCGATCTACGGATCACAACGGCGCACCACTCTGCGAGACGATAAACGTCATGCCGGATACAGTAAAAGCAAATCCGGCCGGGCCGAACACAGCGGGCAAGACCCATTCGAGCTGCGTCGCGATATAGCCCAATACAGAGGCGCCACACACCC